ACAAAATGTTTAGATGAATATTAAAGCCCTACGTGAAAAATTTTAAGAATCTGGTTCTATTAATTTCCCAGATAAGCGAATTTTTGCATATAATTCATGTGGGAGGTGCCGCTCTCCCCATTGGTAGTCCGCCAATTTATTACCCAAAATGTTTATTAAGGATGTTAAGGTTCTTCGTGCAAAATTTGAAGATTCTAACCCTAATAGTTTCCAAGATAAGCGAATTTTTGTATTTAATTTATATCAATTAATTTAATTTATGTCAATTTATACTTTTTGCCCTAAAATCATATTGACACTAAAGTGGCTCCCACAAAATTTGAGGACTCTAACTGTTATATTTTCTCAGATATACTGATTTAATATTTTCTTCAAATGTAAGGTGCCACGCCCACTATAACCATTCCGCCCATTTTGTCCACAAAGTTGTTCGTAAAAGTTGTCAAAGTTGTTCGTAAAAAATTTTAGGGCTCCATCTGTTGCAGTTTCTGAGATATGCAACTTTTAAGACTAACTTGGCACTTCGCCTACTTGAAATTCGAAAACAAAAGGTAGCCTATAGTTCCTTACAGACAAACAGGAAGACACTGTGGAAATTTTAGGAAAATCGGTTCAGCCGTTTAGCAGTCTATAAAGACCAAACAAACATACAAACACACATTCATTTTTATATACATATTTATATAAATAATGTTTTATTTCTCAAATCGGACGATATGTTAGAAAATTATTTAAAAATTAGTAAAATGTCATAAATTATTCAATGCTATAGCAATGAGAATAATGTACTATTCTCAAAACGCAGTTTTTTTATTTATGTTGAGCGATATATAATTTTCTTCGGATATTATGTATACAAACTTAAAGATGTTAAAATTCACATAAAGAAAAGTAATCATCCAAAATGTTCAATGATTTTCAGTTGGCGTTTGACACATCAGTCATATGCACTTGTTGTGATGAACTAAGGAAATTAATGGTGGATAATTTCATTATGCATACACTAGTGTTGTGCCGAATCACCATAGTACATTATTAAAAATAATATTTGATATAATTTTCGATTTTTTTTTTAAATTCTTAATTTTTTCCATCTTAAAATTTTAATTTCATTTTTCCATATCCAATAACATTTCAAATATCCGAATTTAATTCCTAAATTGTTTCTACATCTAATTTTATTGTGTTTTTCTATGTAATGACAAAAAGTTTGGAATATATTTTCATAGGTTTTCGAAATTTTGCACATATCTCCGTTATTTATGGATCGATTTTGGTGAATATATCTAGAGCCTTCGGAAAAGTGATGTCAAGACACATACAAACAGACGGACAAATTGACTCCGCTATCTATAAAGATCCAAAATATATACTTTACAGGATAGAGAAATTATATTGTGAAAATTAAGTACAAACGGAATGACAAACTTGTATATACCCAAAAGCTAACCATTTTGCTTATAAAATACTATTCAGTTTTTCAATGTGATGTCATAGGAACGAGTCTGTACTCACACACTATACATCAGTTTCAGTTAACCAGAAGTTACCTCAAGATGAGTTAGCTTCTAGTGCATAAATAAAAGATCAGCTGTGAGTTACCTGTGCAATTTTCTTATATTTTTATACTATTTTTAACAAATTGTTAGTGATTATAAATGCGTTCAATATGCAGCAACATTTCCTTCCTATATACACCATTATCTATGTCTTATATTCCTGAAAATGTTAATTTAATAATAATAAATTCATTTTTCATTGCTGAAACAAATTTTCATTTTCATAATTTAATTTTTTCAATACAAATTGTTTGACAAATTTGATACGATATTTTTTTTATATTTTATTTTTTATTTCAAATTTTATTGAAATGTTTGTTCATTTCCTCGATCATTTTTGAGTTACTTTGAAGCTAGTCATAAGAAGTTATCAAATAGTTAACTTGATTTTTAGTTAACTCACAAAATCCTACAGGGTAATATTCAATCATTTCAAAGCATACATGTGTGTGCAATGAACATTAGGATGCTTCCAACTATAAATGTATTTAGCTAATGTTCAAAATTGGAGTTCTAATGTTTAACATGAGCATCATATGACAAAAAATTGATTTAAGAGTAAGTTCAACCATATTTTTAACTATCACTAATAATTAGTGGTAATTTAAATTTATTCACTACTTTTATTTATGTTTAGTGATGAATTGAAAAATATAAGCCTCACTTAATAATAGTGATAGTGATATTTAAAATTTTTAACTAAAAATATTTTAAAAATAGTTAAAATATTTACAGCCTAGTGAATTAATTTTTTCTACACTAAATTATTAGTTCAAAAAATATTCCTGCACTATTTTTTTTTTTTCAACAGAGAAATGTTTCACTCATTTGAAAGTTTAAGTTAACAGGTCAATCTAGAAATGGTTTAAGTCAACCAAAAACTCATTGGACGAATATTATTAATGAGTAAAACGTTCATTATTTACAAAGTTTCCAAGCAATTGCCTAAAAAACTTCCAGTAACCACATCATGTTGGCAACGCAGCTGAAGTGGCAATCGAGATACAAAATTGACCAATTAATTTTTTCTAAGAGGAAAGTTCATCATTCCGCTAAAGAAAAAAATCGTTATACTTGAGCAGAAGAAGGCAAAAGTTTTGGAATTTAGGTGTTTCAACCATGTCTATTTAAAGCATGAGATGTTGTTGGGGTAACTGCATACGTGGGGTCCATCATAGTGTCATCGCTAACAAAATCTGTATTTTTGCATTTTAATAGATGTATCTTTTAAAAAATTAAGTCATTTATTGTCTTACAAATTCTTTAATTTTCATAAAAAAATAGTGCAAAGAAAATTTATTGAAGCCTTTTGTTAGTGACTGTTCAAATTTTTAACTATTTGAGTGTAGGTAGTGCTTTTTTCTACACTACCACTCAATTGAGTTATAGTTAACAAAATAACATAATCACTAAAAAAATATTAGTGCTAAAAATATAAGCTTCACTGCCACTAACCTCCTGAAAATTTGTGAAAAATATATTTTTTTAATAATATTTAGTGCTAGTTAAATATTGATTTAACTCTTGTTTAAAACGAATTTAATTTAATCTCTGATTAAAACGAATGATTTTTTAATATCAGTACCGCAATTCTGTAATTTTTTAATTTTAATTACCGATATTGTAAAGTAACGACAAATATCGGTTGCATTAACGAATTTTCAATTCTGTAACTTTTTAACGAACTTAGAATATTTTAACGACAAACGTCGGAAAAATATGAGAATGTCAAAAGTTTTGTATTGAAATATTTTTAAAATAAATAAACTCCCATCGGAGCGAGACTGCTACCAACACTATGATCGGACGTGCTCGATCGCATACTTAACAAGAATATGTCGGGAACTTTGAAATACTGATCCTAGATAGAATCTCATGGCCAAGCGAACCAATGCAGCAAATACCCGTAGGAATCCGTCGCTACACGGATGGCTCTAAACTGGAGGACAAAACTTGAAGACCCATGAATAACAGAAATAGATTACCGTCTACCTATTCACAACACTAACTTCTAAGCAGGTCAGAGCAATGACGGAATGCGAAAATTGGATTAGATTAAATATCGGTTAACAGCTAAAAGCTAAAAGCAAAGCCGTTCAATACAACGAGGGCTGAATTAAAAATAGGGGGAGAGAATGCCATAAGGTCACTTAAACAATGAAACGGTGGGTAGAACCACAAAGATCCTTACGATAGCAGAACTAGAAGCCTCCTCAAAAAGAGCAGGACTGATGTAAGTATAATGATACGTATGTATTTTCCTATTCAGACGAATGTAGGCCATGTGGATAGAACAGTGAAACCCTGGAACACTTTATTTGTCACCGCCACGAACACGGATTGGAAATTTCTTAGGAATTACATCCAGGAAACTGAGTTTTTGAACAGTGGGTGGTAATACCTTAATTGATCACAATATAAGGTTTTTGTTTTTACCAACAAACATTTTTCATGAAAAGAAGCTCACAACAGGACCGATGGTGGCCTATGTGTATTTTTTCGGATTTTATATTGTATACATTCTCCTATTAACCTAACCTAAGTTTAAAGTGTCCAGAAGTCAATTTGGAAAAGTTTTATCTTATTTCACTCTAGCTCCTATATAAGGCTGCCTTCCTAAATTACTATAACTTATTAACAGAATTATATCAAACAGCTTTCCAAATATCGATTTATCGTCATTAAATAGATTACTTTTTAAATACATAATCCATCAAGACCATTAGTATCGGCATTCTGTTTTAAAGTTTATAATGTGTTCATGAGAATTCGTTCGTGAGTAATCAAACTTATATGTATACTTATGTAGATTTATTTGTTATTCACGCTTTTTCATGATCACGGCTAAGAAAATAATTTTACATGCACACCTCTAATGATAATGCGGATCTTACAGGTAATAAAATCGTACTTTACATTGTCTTCAACGCGCACCCAAAATATATCGTTTTGGTAGAATGATTTTTCATTTAATAAATTTAAAAATTACTATTAATAACAAACTCAACAATTATTTACAATGCAGTAGGAAAAATGTACATGTGTTTAAATATGTTAACGTATGTTCACACTTGTCAAATATTTGATGATAAACATAAATTATACAATACTGTGTGTATATAATTTCGAACCATATTATGAAAATATTTTAAAGTAATGTACAAATGCTACAAAGAAATAAATATTTTTGTTGTTGAAATTTTTTACAAAATATTTGACAAGTGTGAACAAACATTAAATATGTATATGTATGTACATTTGTATAAATAAATATGTACATATTTATAAATCATATTGTAATAATGAACAAAAATTACATACAAACATTGGAAGACGACAACCACTTAAATTTGTACTTCTTGGTTCAGAGTTTCTGCAAATTGTTTGTTGGTTACAAGTATCATTGTGATTTTAAATTGCTATAAATGTCTACATTATTGTTGAATGGAAATGACTTCAATTTAAGTATAAAAGGTTTAACACATCTCGCATTATTGTCAGTTAACAGCAGTTACAACAAGTGTTGAAATAAACATCCAAAAAATCAAAATACTAAAACAGAAATATTGTTAAAATTTTAAGTTTTAAATTAAAAAGTTACTAAAAGCTCTTCGAAAAAAGGATTAAATAAAATGTTTCGCATAAATTGTATATCGTTGTGTGTTTACGTTTGTACAATAAATTTTCTATACGGAAGTGTTTGCGCTGTTCCAAAGTATGACACAAGTGGAAAGTGAGTTGTCCAATAAAATGGTCTGATACATACATCCTTAAAAATAATTACAGAAAATATTTATTTATGTAAAAGAAAGTTATTACACAAAAGTGAATTTGATTTAAATAAAACTAAAAACATAATTTGATGAAAACACTTAATAGTGTGTAATAATTACAAAATAATTTCACAGTTTCAACTTGAATTAACACTACATCTTAAAACACAATAAATATTTTTAATCCATAGTTTGAAAATTCATTAATCAAAAAATATTCTGTGAGAAATTGTCAAAAAAAAAAAAAAAAAAACACAGCGTATATTATGTACTTTTTAAATTTATCCAGAATTATTATAACTTTTTCCAAATCAGTGCTATTAACTTTATTTTGAGAAAGTGATTATTTTTTAAAGAAAAGATGTAATATAATATTAACATTAACAGTATTTAAATACTATTAAGGATAGTACTGTATCAAAAAAACTAAAGCGATTTTTATTGTTTTCATAAAAAATATTTTCAAGCTTTTGTAATCTGTAGCAATGACAATAAATTCAAAAAAAAAAATAATTTCAGATCTTATAACGATAAAAATGAATGGAGTCGCTCATTCTATAATGAAAATAAAACACAACAATTCGAGCAGGACAGCTCAACAACTAAAGATCGTTTGCAAAGATTAGGATACACTACCGGATATGGAACAATAAATGTAAGTTATAAAGTTATTATATGTTTTTACTACTGTAAATAAATACCTTATAAATAATATTTGTAGGGCTACCCAGCAGGAACAGGCATTTCAGCGTATAATCCCATCAAACTTGATTTGGGAGGTGTGGTATTAGGAACATTGGTTGGGATAGGTGCTATCATTATTATACCTAAAATTTTGAGTGCATTCCACGGTGGATATGCTGGATATGGCAGAAGTATTTTACATTGACCTATCAAAGTATACAGGGGTGTCAATGGTCAATATTTCAAAAAGTCCAAAATAATTTTTTTGGGAAAGCACTTTTGAAAAGCGGTAATTTAATAAATTCAAGTTTCTAACGTAAGCAAAAGTCAGTTTAGAAAGAAGCCCATACTTATATGTATGTGTGTACATTTTCTGTCTAGTGTCACCCCTGTGTACATTGTAATAAAACCAATTCTGTATATTTTTATTGTAAAGTGCAGTAAAAATTAATTAATTCATTGTTTGTTTTAGGTGAAAATGAAAATGATTTGTCATCATTGACTAATTTTATGAATAAACTCGATGATATTTTGGGCCAAAATAATATAGATTCAACAAGTTGCATGCAACGTGCTATTTGCAGTTATGTACGTTCAACTGAATACAATATGAAGATGGGTGCATCTGATCAAATGGATGAATTTATTCACATGATGTCTGAGTAAGTTCTATAAAACAAAATAGAATACTGTGTATTAAATACTTACATATGTATGTATGTATTTGTATTTTCTTGCTCAAAAACGATACAAATTGAGGGTGTAACATTTGAAAAGTGGTTTATACAAATGAACATTAGGATGGCCCTGTTTCTTAGTGGAAAAATAAGGTGTCAATGTTCCCAACAAAAATTGAAGTTTAATTGATTCTAAGGTACCGTTTCTCAAAATTTTTGTTCTCACGTCAATATTTGGTGAGCTTGATCAAAGGATAAATAGGTCTTTTTTTGAGGTTTTTAATATATTTTCCATATATCATCCAAAGGTAAGATATGAAATTTTGGTATCATATGAAAGGTCCTTGAGAGACACTATCAATTACATATCATTGACATACAAACGGGAGCTCGCTAATGTATAGTATTAAAAATTGATTTTGACTCTGTTCTGAAAGGAATAACGATTCCCGAAATCAAAAAGTACCTTTTCCCGAAATATTACATCGCAGGTACGGTAAAACAATGAGAAGTATTGAGTGAAGTTGTTTTTCTATATTTAATGCTCATATATGTTAAACAGATTCTTTTAAATTCCTTTAATTTTTATACCCACCATCAAAAAAGATGGGGGTATATTAATTTTGTCATTTCGTTTATAACACATCGAAATATTAGACATAGACCCACAAAAGTATATATATTCTGGATCCTTATCTGTTGAAGCATGATGGGGTCCGAATGGAAAGAGGTAGAGAATTGAAAGTTTAAACAAATATTTCCTATAGATAAGGTTTGTTTGGTATTGAAAATGGGCACGTTTTCGCAAAGACCCCACACAAGTCGCCCCCCGGATAACAGTTTTAAAAACTCAATAATGTCCTTTTCAGAAAATAGCTTTAACGCTCATTGCTGGCTTCAAAATACGAGTGCAGCGATGAAATTCAACACAGACATGTTTTCGATTTTAATGCGATCGAAAAACCATCCACCAAATTTTATGATAATCGGTCCATAATGTACCTTTTAGAATAATACTTTAGCGCTCATTACTGGATTAGAAATACGAATACAGCGATAATATGCGATATAAGCTAATTTTAAACGAACGGTGATCTATCTACCAAATCTTTAGACCCCCTTTAGACAATATTTGAATGCTCATTACTGGCTTAAAATATTAGCGTAGTGATGGAAATCGGCATAAAAATGTTTCATACTAAGCGAAATCTCCCAAACTAATTGTATGAGCATCAGTCCATAACAGACTCTATCGCACATATAAGAAAATGACTTTAACTCGCATTACTGGTTTAAAAATACCCCTCTTTACCACAGGCTAAAAAATTATTAGTACATTTATGAATCTTAGAAAGAATAATTTGTTTATATTATTTCGAATTCCCCATCTCAATAGTTGCGAAATATCTTAATAATGTTAGTTGAACTCATTTATAATAAACATTTTTATAAAAAGGGTATCTCGATCAAATTTAAGCTTTTATTGCATGGAAATACCGCACTGTAGTCTGACAGATTTCATACCAATTTCAAAATTAACTTTACAAATAAGTCTATGTAATTTTTCGGAAAATTGCAATATTTCGTTTTTTTTTTTGTTTTTTAGCGGTATTTATTATACGGTTTCTTTGAAAGAAATATCAAAAATCACAAATACATATTGACGCAAAGATAAAATTTTAAGAAGCGGTTACAATAAACTTTTAATTAATTTTAGTTGGAAACATCAGAAACTTTTTTTGGGCTGCCATAATAAATGTATGTTTATATTTTTAAGCAAATACGTTTATCAATAAATAGTTCAGCATGAATCACAGGGAATATATTTAGTCTATTATAAGTTGTTTATAATTGTGAATTGATTGTTTTGAGGTTTATTTTTATAATTTTGTTTATAGAGTGGCATTCTAATAAAATATCTGTATTTTTTTGTATATTTCGCTTTTATTTTAGGAATTCGCTGGTCGATTACTTGTTGGATGGCACTGCTATTAAAGAGGCATTAGAACATGGCAAAAAAATTAATACGAAACCATGTGAAGAAGTCTATATTAATTGTCCGTTGGACAGCAAAAAGGTAACCAGCATGCTAATTAAATTGTTGCCAAAAAAGACAGCAACAACAATATCATCGACATCTACAACAAATAATAATCAATAAAATTGTACAAACGTATTTTAAAACATAAATTCCATTATTAATATTTGGCAGTATTACAGCTTTATGTACTTACATTTATTTTATTTTATGCTAAAGATGAATAAATACGAATAATATATTTAAAAAAAGCTGTGTATATATTCTGATTTAATTAATGACTCGACATACAGTGCCGGCAAAAAAATAGAAACTTGAAAATTTTTCAGTGGAAAATCTATTTTCTGCCAAACTATATGATAGAATTTTATGATCAATATCTCAAATGAAAGCTATTTATCTGTACTTTCTCCTGTTATTCAGTTATTATAGTTTTTTGGTCTCGAGAAATTTTTATTCAAATTTAACTGAAATTGGCGTTGGAAAAAATATTAGAAACATGTTATTATAATGCCTTGGGTAAGTAACAAAATATTTAAAAAATGTTTCGAAATTCGAATCAAATTAGCGTAGAAAATGATATATTTTATTTGAAATTCAGAAAACACAAATTGGAGTTGAGATTTTTCATTTCAATATCGGAAGACCCAAAATTCGGAAAGAAAACAATAGATAATCAGAAAATAATGATAATATATACACTTTATGTTCAATTTCAAATTGTTTTCCGAGTTTCATATAAAAACTTTAATTTTCACTTGTTATTTTCAAAATTTACAACGAAGAAATCTCATTTATAATTGATTTTTTTGAATATCAAATTCAATTGTTCTTTTCCGAAATCGAAATGGAAAATCTTAATTTCAATTGGATTTCTCTGAATGCAAAAATTTCAGAGTTTCAGTTATGATTTTCTGAATGCGAAATGCAATTTTAATTAAACTTCTCTGAATTCATAATTAAAAGTTCTCATTTTCAATTGTTTAAAGGTGTACGATTTTATGAATCAAATATGATTTGCTTTCTCTTAACATTGTTGTCTACTTAAATGTTTTAATATGTCCTCCTTACCACAAAGTTCATTAGAATATTTGTATCGTCGAAGCATCATTAAATTTTAAATAAACATGTAAAATAATAGAGAAACATATCGTCACTTCTCTGAATTCATAATTAAAAGTTCTCCGGCATAAGAAAGAAATTAGTCATTTTCACAAGTCAGAATGTTTTAAAAAGCATCACAATAGACAATGTCTGGAGTCACAATTATATTCAAACATGTTTCTTGATGTTTGGATATAATGCATTGAAGAGACATTTTTATAATAACAATAGTTATACCCTACACCACTTTAGTGGGGAGGGTATATTGGGTTTGTGCTAATGTTTGTAACATACAAAAATATTCGTCCTATACCCACCTTAAAGTATACCAATCGGCTTAGAATCGTTTTCTGAGTCGATAATTATACCTGTATATTGATAAAAAGGGGCACAACTAGAGATGCCAAACGGGAATTCCCGGGATTTTCGGGATTTGAAAGTACCGAAAACCGGGATTTGAAAAAATGAAATTCCGGGAAAAATTCCCGAATTTTTATGTGTTTTTCCGCTATTTTATACATTATAAAGTGTTAAATAATAGAATTTTAAAAGTTTTTAGACTTAAGATGCCTCTACTTACTTACAAGCTGAAATATCAAAAATAAAAAGGACAATAAATAGGCATAGATACTATCGGATATATAAAAATAACAAGTAAGAAATTATAGGCTGACGAGGCCGACCATATAACCCCCTACACCAGTTATGAGAGTAATATGTGATTTAGTTTTCATAATAAATCATTTAAGTTGATTTATACCTCGCCACCGATATATTTTAGCCATTTATTGTTAAAACACTATCTTTCCGAAATATGCTTGTGGGATGCCTTCATATAAGTCGATCCTCATAAAATTTGGAGGACGAATTTACAGTTACATAAAATGTGTTTATGCAGAATTTCATTGCGGCACTTCTCTTTTTAAGCGAATTGTGGACACTAAATTCTTTTTTAAAGCTGTGCTTTGTATGGGGGCTAGGATCAAAAGAAGCCCGATCATTTCAAAATTCATCAGGGTATTTAAGGCCAGTATAAAACAAAAGCACTACTCCGGAGAAACCCAATATACCCCACTAGGCTGGTGTAGGGTATAAAAAGGTCAATAAATAGGCATTGATACTATTGAATATCTAATGGGTGTATTAGAATCTATAATGGATGTCAACCTGTCAATAAGATGGCGAGATGATAATTCCCTTATTTGGGTTAGAGAACACGGGATATAACTAATAATATTGCCTTGGCAGAAGCTGGAATTACTATGGCTATAATTGATAGAAACCAGTTCTGTAGTATTTCCCTACTGACCATTAAAAACCATATATCCGATATTCAGATCAAGACGGATGGTCTCATGAGTACATAGGTGCAGTACAGGTGCACTATGTAGCCTCGTATGGATCCTCATTACACATGGGTATTATTTTATATTTATAATATATAAGAAGCTTTTGGTCAGAAGTAAGTTTTTATCCTACTATTTAGTACCTGGGATGGAAAGATTTTTATTCTAAGTACTTTGAATTAATTTGTTTTTCTTTTCACAAAATGCTTATTGGAAAGTAAGCACCTACTAAGTGTATTCATATTGCAATATGAAATAGAAAAGGTTATTTTTGTCGGTAAAATTTTAAGATCTTTTGAATTTTTTTTTAAAATTTTTCGGGATTTAAAAAAATCCCGGGATTTTTAAAAATCAGTCCCGATTGGCATCCCTAGGCACAACTAAGTTTTATACAAACCTTGATGACCTTGCCAAATTTCATAGAGATCGGGCCTCATTTGACCCTAGCTCCCATACAAAGTCCGTATTATCCAGGAATTCATATTATGCAGTGTTCACTCTATCCTGACTCCACTGTAAATGTATTTCTGAAAATTAAATAGACGTTTTGCTTAGATTTTTCATATTAAGTTGGTTTTATCAGTATTTTCTCGAGTATATGGAACCTGACAGCTGAATCGAGGGTCACTTTCAAAATATCTTAAATAACTTAAATATAAAATAAAATAAATTAGTAAAAGTATTAAAATCACCTATAAAACTATTTTTTGAAATGAGTTAGAGTTACCGATTTTTCAGAGAAATTGTTGACCATTTTTGCACTACTTAACAATTCAAACACTTTAGAATGGGCAAATGTGGAATTTAACATCAAGTATTTTGATGAAATGTTAAAAATATGCTAAAATAAGTAAAATTAAATATAAAAAGTTCAATAAGCATCGAAAATTCATGACAAATCATAACGCAATAGAGGGTTTAAAATTTGGAATTAATACCATCATTGAAACGACATATTCTATTATATAAAAATTAAAAATAAATATAAAAACCAAAATATTTGAAATAGTTTTCATTTGATTATATTTTTTAGAAATCTAATAAGCTTTTTTATAAGCAAACACCAGAGTTTGTTATTTAACCCTCGAAAATTTTACTCTTTTAGGTACTTTTTGATTGACATTTCAAGGTATTCGTTTCAATTGAATAATAAGTAACTGATTTTGGTTCTTCGATTATCTCATCATTGAACATAAATGCCAGTTTCAGTCGATCTATAGATATGACTTTGCTGGATCCGTATAATCTTTAGAGTTTTAAAGTAGGTCGCATGGTAGTCGATTTGTTGTACCATACGCTATTTCTATAGGCGTTGCATTTATATCTTATCTGATACTTGAACGAAGACCCATAAGTACATTTGGAAGTACTTCTAACCAGTTTTTGTTATTATGGCACATTAGAGAAGCTTTTAGGGAACGGTGCCATCGTTCAATCATTGCATTGGATGATGGATAATAAGCTGTTGTTCTTATTCTTTTGCAACCAAGAACAAGTGGGAGCTCTTTAAAAAGACTGGATTCGAACTGACGACCTTGATCGGTAGTTATAAATGATTCAGCAACCTTTCGTGCTGTCATATCCTCTAACGGAATGGCCTCAGGCCATCGACTAAATCTGTCGATGCAGGTTAACAAGTACTTATACCTTTAGTAGGCGGCAATGGACCAACCAAATCTATATTGATATGGGAAAACCGTTCGGAAGTTATAGGATACGTTCCAACTTAACTATGTATGTGCCGAGTTACTTTAGAACGCATTTAATAAATTCTTGGGTCCATTTGGTTTCTTCATGTTTGGTCATACAAAACGATCTTGGATTAGTTTTGTTGTTACTTTAGTGCCACCGTGTGACAATCCATGAAGTGAATTGAATACAATTTTGCGAAAATTTGACGGCACAAAGGGTCTTGCTTTATTTGTTGAGATATCATAACTGGCGGCTTATCATGTTGGACTACTATGGACTTTAAAATAAGCAAAGTTGAGTTATCATTTAGAAGCGACTGGAGTTCTGCATCATCTTCTTGAGATTTTCTTATTCTTCGAAATCTATAGATGCAGGAGCCTCAATCACAGATATACGAGAAAGTGTATCTGCAATTGTGTTTACATATCCGCTGATATGACGTATTTCAGTTGAAAACTGTGATATAAAATCAAGTTGACGAAACTGGCGAGGTGAAGCGTTTTCTGGATTTTGCCTAAAAGCTAAAGTTAAGGGCTTGTGATCTGTGAATATGATGAACTGACGGCCTTCCAGCATGTACCGAAAATATTTAACTACGGTGTAGATGGCCAAAAGTTCTGTATCGTAGGTGCTGTACCTCTTTTGGGTTTCTGTAAGCTTTCTTGAAAAAAACTAAAAGGAACCCAGCCAGCATCAGATTGTTGTAGCAACACTTCACCTATAGCATGATCGGAAGCGTCGACCATTACACAAATTGGTTGCTATCTATTGGATGGGCAAGGAGTGTAGCGTTGGCTAAATCTGTTTTACATTTGTTAAAAGCGTTTTCAGCTTCTGGAGTCCACACTATAGGAGTTTTGTCATTTTTCTTGTTGCCTTTTTTGATATTCGAGAAGCGGTATTTGAGTTTCATCAGCATGATGAATAAATCTGCGATAAAAGTTTATAATTGCAACAAAACGACGAACTTCTTTTACAGTAGATGACTTCGAGTAGTTTGTAATTGCAGCTACTTTGTCAGGTAAGGGATAAATACCACCGAGGAACTGAATTTCTGTTTGACCAAAGTGACATTTTGACAGATTAATCACTATTCCGTATTCATTGAACCGTTCAAATACTAGTTGAAGATGATTATAATGTTCCTCTACAGACTTGGATGCAATCAAGACATCGCCT